GTGATACTGCCTATTACAGGTCACACTGCATCCTGCATCTTGTGCATTTTGCCCTTATTCACCCAAACCGCTGATCTCTCTCTCCGCGCCACACCGCCCGAGGCCCGCGCCATTGGGCGGTCCATGGCAGCTATGGTGGCAGCAGAGAGGCATTTGTGGTTGACCCTGTCTGATATGAAAGAGAAAGACAGGGTCTTCCTCCTCGACGCCCCGCTTGCGCCTTCTGGCCTGTTCGGCGACACCATCAATTCCGTTTCAGCGGTTCTTCCCTCGCCGCATCTCAGCTCTGAGGGCTGCTGGGCGGCAGCAGTCCTCTCCGCGTACCAGCTCCTCATATAGGGAGGCTCAGAAACAGAGCATTGCCGCCCGCGCTCCCCCTGCGTCAGGACCGGAAGCAGAAGCAACGCTCTGGGTCGGGGGCTTTGAAGCCTAAGCCGGATCTGCGGACCGTCCTTCAGGATAAGAGGTCCTCGACCAAAAGGTCCTGACTATTCGGTTAGCAGGTGTGTCTATGCAGGACATCTGCAACGCTGCGGGTTGGTCCATGCCCATTACCTTGGTCAGATTCTACGATCTAGATATGCGAGCCACTCCTGGCTCTTCTGTTCTCTCGCCCTAGCTGTGCAGGCTTCCACACTAGGCAGAGATTTGAAAGTCTGGCATGTCTGTTTGACTAGTGCATTTTTTGAGCCTATATTTAGTATAAGTAAAATACTTAAGTACTGTTAAAATCAGATACTCTAAGACTTTTACTCAAGTTGTTTTGAAATTGGTGACTTGTAACGTGTAGTGGAGTAATTTTCACTGTAAGGTATCTGTAATTTTACTCAAGTATGGTTTTTAGGTACTCTTTACACCTCTGGCTAACATTATCTAATAGCTTAAACAGCCTATTTTGCATTAGTGGAAAAGGAAAGTCATTTCAGTCATTCCATTTTTTAATGAAACATTAATTTATTAACAAATTAAGACAAGGAACATGTATTAAAGAGATAATTCACCCAAAAATCTAAATTCTGTCATTAATTACTCTCCCTCATGTCGTTCCAAACCTTCGTTCATCTTCGGAACACAAATTAAGATGTTTTTGATGAAATCCGAGAGCTCTCTGACCCTCCATGGACAGTCACAGCAAAGGTACTACCACGGTCAAGGCACAGAAACATTGTAAGGACATCGTTTAAAATACTCCATGTGACATCAGGGTTTCAACCGTAATTTTACGATGCTACGAGAATACTTTTTATGCACAAAGAAAACAAAAAGAACAACTTCATTCAACGATTTCTTCTCTCCCGTGACAGTCCTCTGCCATTATCGAGAGTCGCATGCACCACGATGCATGCATGTGATGCTGCTGACGAAGAACACACATGCGCTGCGCCTTGTTTACGAGCAGAAGAATGCACACGCATGCGTCATGGTACTCTCCATAATGGCGGTGGACTGTCCGGGGATCGTTGAATAAAATCATAATTTTTGGTTTCTTAGCGCACAAAAAGTATTCTCATAGCTTCGTAAAATTACAGTTGAACCACTGATGTTACACGGACTATTTTAACTATGTCCTCACTACGTTTCTGGGCCTGAGAACATTTCAGTTGCATTGCTGTCTATGCAGGGTCAGAAAGCTCTTGGATTTCAGCAAAAATATCTTAATTTGTGTTCCGAAGATGAATAAAGGTCTTACGGTTTTGGAATGACATGAGGGTGAGTAATTAATGACAGAATTTTCATTTTTAGGTGAACTATCCCTTTAAGAACTTGAATACAGTATAGTGAAATAAACAACAAACAGAAACATAAAACCACATCGAACTAAAATGGAATTTTGTCAGTTTGGATTTCATGATGATTGTAAAGGTGCGATTGTATTAGTAAAATTTTGGTGAAATTTTGTGGGCAAAAAAAGTCACTTTCAAACCAAGCAGCTTTCTCTTGGTCAACATACTGTAGCAATTCTGTGTGGCTTATTTGACCCCATTGCGAAATCTGCATGGGAATATCTTTGACCCTCACGTGAAATACCCAGTCGCACAGATTCCTAATGAAATTACTGGATTTCGCTCGCAAATATTTGCAGAACAACAATAACTATGCTTGATACATGCAGTGCATGTGCATAGTCGAGACATAAACAGCAAATGTCACAAGCCTGGTCTCCTTAGGTCATAACTTGGGTGATAATCATTTGTTAGGGAATGGACTTTAATAGTACAAAGTATAGAAAATAAGTAATTGTTTATGACATAAATTCTCTTTTTTTTCATTTTATAGATTGCGACTTTCTTATATGGCATACACTACTTTATTTATTGTTAGTAACATCACATCTAATAGTTTGTTGCACAGTATCCCATAATACTACATTTATAAGCAATGAGGAATCATTCAAAACTAATATGTTTAGTATTCCACTTCCTCTCTCTTTCACTTTCCTTTAGCTCTGATTCCTTTTCCACAAAAGAAAAACATGTTTTGTTTTGCCGCTGCTTGTGTCTGTAACCATGGCTTTTCCATCCTAACCCATTGATAGGTTTCCAAAGGCTACGATTTTGAGTCGGACACAGACACCGAGGTCATCCCTAAGTTGATCAAGTATCTCTATGACAACCGCGAGAACGATTATGTGTCCTTCTCCACCCTAGTTGAGCGCGTCATTCAACAGCTGGTAAGCATTACGAGTGTGTGTGTGTGAGTGTGTGAGTGTGTGAGTGTGTGAGTGTGTGAGTGTGTGTTTGGGGTGAGGGGGTGGTCTTACTCACATGCCTCTGGGAACCCCTTGCTCGGATTGTGAAAGTTAAAGGCCAGTTCTTGCTCATTTTCAGCCCTCTTACAAACAAGGAAAAGAAGTTCAGAAGTACTGCTCTGTTTGAGGGGTAGTTACATGTTTTTTGTCATGATAGTTGTAGTGAGTCTCTCAAAGTTCTCACAGATAAATCAAGTAAGGCATAAAAAAACTTTACAAAAACTTATGCAGTTATTCTCTTCTTTAGCTTGCTTCCCTGTATTTTAATTCATTTTTCTCATCTTCGATAAATTGATCACGTACACTGTAAAAAATAAGTGTAATTTTAACTGTAAAATATTGTAAAAACGCAACGGAAAAAAAAACTGTTAATAGGTTAACAGTAAGTTCCCGTGCTATATACAGGGAAAAACTGTAAAATATCTAACCAGACATTTCATGTAATTTTACAGTAAAATGCTGTTAATTTTACAGTTTTTAAAAGTAATAAAATAATAAATCAATGTATAATTTACAGTCAAAAACTGTAAACTGATATTCCCAGAATTCCCTGCATGACACTCCACATTTGAAAGTATTTTGTTTAAATAATCATGTTTTTTTAATAGTTTTTGTTATTAGTTATGTATATTTGGGCTTTATGTTACATCTTCTGTTGTTTAATGAAAGTTTAATGCATTATTTAAGTATCATGTGTGTTACCATGATGGTGTTTTGTGTTTGCATGAATGACTCTGTGCACCTTCTATATATTAGTATATACTTCTGCTTGTGGCGAAGCTACTTGTGATGAGCTTTGATTCTTCATGTGGCTTTCTCTTTTACCACCTGCATTATTATGGTGGTTGTCAGTATGTTAAAGGTACAAAACAGATTTTAATAGCAGTGTGCATTGTTGAATTTACTGGTTTACATCAAAATTTTCTTGTTTGTTAATTACAGTTTTATACTGTAAAATTTACAGGTTTTGGCCGTAAATGTGTTTACAGTTTTTCTGTATTTTTTACAAAATTATTCTGGCAACCACAGCTGCCAAAATTATTTTGTAAAAACTACAGAATTTTTTTTACAGTGTAGTCAAAGTTTGGTCTTCCTCATTTTCAGTTATATATCCAATAGCTACGTTTATCAGCACAAAATGGCGTGTCAAACGGCTGTTCCTCGTCTCCAGGTGACTGATATTACCTAGATTTTCAAATGTGGACAGCTGGACCTTGTTTTATGATTCATTGTCAGCACCTTTGGACGACTCTCATGGCCATAATATCCTCTGCTGGGAAGTTCTATCCAAACATTGTTCAGTGACGTTGTATGAGCGAAGGAGGTGCCCTTTGAGATATTCTTGACAGGAATCTAGTCTTTATCATAGATTTATAAAACACCCTGCCTTCCTATCAGCATAATGACTCTCTACATCTCTACCGGACTCTCTATGTTTTATGGCTTCTTCTGTAAATTGATTACACTAAATTTTGATTGCTCTCTATCTAAACTGCTCTGGCAGCCATCTTAGCAATGGAAGGCTGTGAGATAAAAGGATGATAACATTTAAGGTGTGCAGTTGTGTCTTATGGGGCGGCTATAGGTTTCTAAGCAACCTCCACAGCCAAGGACATTAACTGACCTGGTTTGAAAGAGACAAGAGAGGAGAAACAAGTCTTACTGAGGCTAATTTAAAACAGGCATGGGCGTTTTGTGCATTTAGCTTTGCAAAGACACACACTTAAAATAAAGGTTCCTGTTAGAATTAAAAGGGAACAAAGTGTTTTAAAGCCTGAGGCCATAGGAAACTTGTTAGGTTACAATTAATCATTTTTTTTAAATAATTTTTCCTAATATTTTCTTAGGAAAACATCTATGTACTGGTGCTCTACAGAAATCAGCAGTAAATACACTGATCTAAAGAACCTAGTGCTGAATCTAAAAAAGAATGTCATATTTCACTTCAAAATGAGCAGAAAATAAGAAATAATTTGCTGTATAAAGTAAATTAAGCATATTTGTTTGTTGTTTTCAAGACAGTTAAGCGCATTTCCCCCAAAATTCTTATAATTGTAATGCAAAATAATTAGAAATTATTTAAATTAATTGTTTATATTTAATAATTGATATGTGAAATATTAAATATGTTGTATGTTAAATATATTTATATATCAGGACTGCATTTATACTGCTTAGGTTATTTTAAAAATAATACTAATTAAGTTGTGTATATATATATATATATATACACACACACACACACACATATACATTTATATATACACACACTTAAATTATTCTGAATAATTATAACAAAATATTATAACACTGATAATGTTAGAAATGTCTGTGATCACCAAATCAGCATACTAAAATGATTTCTGAAGGATCATGTGACACTGAAGACTAGAGTAGTGACTACTCAAAATTCAGCTTCGACATCACAAGAATAAATTACATTTTAAAACATACAGTATATAAATAGGAAACAGTTACTGTAAATTGAATTTTTTGCAATGTTATTTTTAATGTATTTTTACACAAATAAATTCAGCCTTGGTGAGCATAAGAGATTTCTTTTTCAAAAACATTCAAACTTCGGAACGGTAGTGTGTATATACTGTGTGTGTGTATGGATAGAGCAATTAAGTAAAGGCTGCATGCTTGTAAGCATGCAGTGAGTCATGTATCAGTGTGTTTGGGTTATATGTGTGTGGACTGGAGTGTGTGTGTGTGCTTTACTCTGGGCAGCGAGAGAGTCAGAAGAGTTTCAAGTGAGGAGGTAGGGGCAAATATGAGTTCCCTCAGCACACAGAGAGGGCCCCTATTCCCCTTAGTTCAACCCTCACTGTGGGGCTCTGTTCCTCTCAGCTCCCCGGTGCCCCCTCCACCTCTCCAGGCCTGATCCTGCGCTGCACTCCTGAGGGGGGCTGACGAAGAAACGCGAGACCCTACCTTTGCCCATTCAACAGAACGATGATGTTTCCATTTAGATCGGTATCATAGCTATTCCTGTGCCTCACCAACGAACATTTGTCTCATTCACTGTTTTTTCTCTATCTTCCCTAAGGAAGGGGCATTTGCTCTGGTTTTCAAAAGCATTCATTTCCCAGGAGAGGCCGTTGCCACCAGGTCAGTAAGAGCTATGGTTTCTCTGAACTGTAACACACTCAAGTTTCCTTGTTCCCTTCTTGCTCTTTCTGTCTTCTGAGATGAACCTTTTCCCAATATTTCTCTATGTGCCAGTGAACAGGAGCCATAAGGTTACAATCCGCTGTCGGCAGATAAGATTTATGATGTTTAGTTACAATCTGTGCATTTAAGGACAAGGAACTAAGATTCTTAAAAAGCTGTGCCTGTCCAGGAATCAGGGATTTAACAAAGGTGTTTATGAAGGGTTATTTTAACATGCTTGGTTGGTACGCTGACCCTGTATATATAATTTTGGGTCGATTGAAGCCAAGACCGAAGTTAATTATTCCCATCTGCCTGTCGCTGATTGTGAATGAATGTGTTTTTGGTTTTGGTCAATTCTGTCCTGCTGTGACGGTAACATTTTAAGACAGGCCATGTTGCAAGACCCATCAGTGTGGGTTGCTGCATAGACACTAAAAAATGTTTTTGGTTTTTTTGCACCATCTAAGAAACTTTTTGGAAAGTTATTCATGGAATCTTCGAGGGGGGATGTTGCTTTGAATGTGCTCACAGCGTTTGCTAAGGGCTTTACAAACTCTTTGATGCCAAGGACCCCCAAATATAATCCAGGATTGAGTGTGATATTATAAAGTCAATGTGTTTACAGTTATATTGTCATTTTTCTAAAGCAAATTGGTCAAATATTATTAAAATGGTATGTTTTCATGCTGTTCCAAAAATGAAATGACTTCTATAGAATACAGGAGAAGATATCTTAGAAGAATCTTCTTGTGAAAGTTAATGACTCTAAAACAACATTGACCCCATTGGCTTTTTTTGAACGGAATAAAACACACAGAAGTAATGAGGGTGAGTAAATGATGACAATTTTAATTTTTAGATAAGCTAACCCTTTAATTAAGACATTAACTTAATTTGATAGCCCTAAAGAATTGTAAAATTGTACAAAAAAAAAAATGCATGGACCCACTAGAGTCATAGTGGTAACTTTTACAAGTACCACTCACATTCAGTGAATTATTGATATTATTGTTAGCTAAAGATATAATCGCACACACACACAAAACATTAATATGCAGTTTAATGTTTTCATTAATTGGAATAAAATATAAATATTAGATGAAAATAAATGGAATGAACGGAAATGCTTCTTTGGTAACTAACTTAAAATGAATGTACTCAAATAAAAAAAAAATGAAATTAAAATTAATTAAATATAAAAATGACAAAAAAAAACATACCAAAAATAAAAAAAACTAGATTTAAAATGAAAACTGATATATAAAAATATAAAAATACTGAAATATAAAAATAAAAGTGAATTCAAATTTTTAATAAATACTATAATGGTTTATAATTAATACTAAAACTACACTGTAAACTGTCAAAATGTAGTCAGTCTTAAAACTGAAAAATGTATTCATTCTTAAATCTTAAATTCCAAGGTTCTTTTTTATATGCTCTTTAAAGAATCCATCTGAAAGAATGGAATAGCAGTATCACATCACTTCCATTTTCCTTTACTTCCTGTCTCAACTTCATTTGATTATTATTTGACTACACGTGACCCCAAAGCAAAATCATTTTTAAAAGTGTGCTGTTGTGTTTTCGTTTATTAATAAATCTTTTAGGTGGTCCAGATTTAGAATCCAAAATACACTTCACGGGATGGTGAACATTTAGCTTGCTATGCACACTGAAATGCAACTGCCCAACCAGTTCAAACAAAGCAGGCACTGAGAAAGCGCTCCAGTGTGAACCCATTTGGCACGTCAGCATAAGGGACTGTGGGGCTGCGCCAAGCAAGATAGGTGGTGCATGCGAAGGACAGGTCTGAAATATTTCCTCAAACAGAGGGGAGGGGGGCAGACCTTAACAAGGATATGAAATAGAGAGAGCACGAAAAACCACTCCTCAACACAGGTGTCTTGTTTACAGCAGCGCTACGCTAACACCATTCACTCAGCCAATGGAAGAGCAGAGCCACTGCACATTAAAACTAGGGCAAAGTCCAGCAGGTGTGCTGTTGTTCCATAAACGCAACAAAAGAATCATTTTTTTATGTGACGCGTTTTTTTTTTTTTGCGTAAAAGGAGATTACATTTCTTGAAAGACCTTATCTTTTGTCTGTTTTTACACACACAAAGCATGCTTTGCATAAGTAGTCAATAGAAAATTTATCCTTTTTTTTTAAACAGGAGGGGCAGCCCGCTGCTCATCGGTGTGCGCAGTCAATATGAGCTTTCCACAGAGCAGATCCCTGTCCAGTACAACTGCAGTAAGTCCGGCTCACATCATCCCTACTTCTCATCCACCTATACATCTCCCCAAACCTGTTCTGCTCAGTAGAAGTGAGTTTGTTATTTCACACTATACAGCCAAGATGTATGTGAACACTCAAACACCACACCCATACTGCATGTGTTTGTTGAACATTGCATTCAAAAGCATTTGCATCAACAGGGAGTAGGACCTCTTCTAGGTTTCAGGGTCAGTATATGTTTTTTTTATTTTTTTTTTATTAACATTTCTATTCAGCAAGGATGCAATAAATTGATCAAAAGTTTCAGAAAAGACTTTTTGTAATGTTACAAAAGATTTCTGTTCTTTTTAATAGCTGGGATTTGCTCCCATTTAGAAACAAGAGCATCAGTGCAATTCGTTCCAAAATGTGTTCACTGTCAGGCTGGAAAAGAATAGACCCCCTAAAAACTATTGCCAAACAGTCCGAAAGCCACAGTTCTCTAGAATGGAAGTGTATGCTGTAACATTTAGATTTGTCTCAACCGGAATTGAGGAAACTAACCAAACCGTTAATTAGAAGGAGGTGTCACATACTTTTGGCCACATAGTTTTGCCACAAAAGCCAAGAATGCGCTCAGGGCACTGTCAGGATTAGAAAAAGGACAAAAGGCAGCATTGCTGTCAAGGCGTGTGGCATCCAGCCCAAAACTGACTTCTGACAATACAATGCTACAATGCTTTATGTATATGAACGCATCGTAAAATAATAAAAGGATGATTATATAGGGAACATATAAAATACACTGTTGTAAAGTGAATATTTTAATTGGTTTTAAACATTTAAAGATGTTTTTATTAAGTAAACGTATCTAATTTTTGATTTCAGTTTAAATAGTTTTTATTAATATTTTAACTGTATGCTAACAGAAAAGTCAGTTAATTGTATGATATTAAATCGCCTGACTTTGTTTCTTGCTTTTAAGCAATAATTCTGTGTTAATATTTCACCGATTTTTATAGATGTTAAGAAGTGTGCTTTTCTTTTCTTTTTCCTCTAGGTAATTCCAGGACAGATGAACAGGAGAAAAACTTACTGAACCGAAGGGGCAGCACCAATGCCTTGCACTCAGTCCATGACAGACTGGCGGTGGAGTTTTACTTTGCCTCTGATGCTAGGTAACACGCATATTATTACACTGTAGAATCTTGAGCATTCGACAGTGTAATATTCACATTAACTTTAAGAAACCTAAAGATTGCAGACGTCCAATTTAAACGGAAATAAAATTGTATAAATATAATGTCAGCTCAGCAATGCACCCTGCTGGCCACATAACCTCATTACACACGTGATTACGATAGTAAAACTAAAATATGTGTTTACTTTGATTTTTCTCTCTCAGTGCCATTATTGAGCAATGTGTGTACTGTGTATATTTATTACGTATATATAAATACACACACATGCATGTATATATTTAAGAAATATGTTATGTGATATATGTGTATATATATATATATATAATACAAAATATAATAATATAAATATATAAATGTATATACATGTAAATATTTTCAAAATATATAATGTATGTGTGTGTATTTATATATACATAATAAATAAACACAGTACACACACCTATATTATGTAAACAAAAACTTTTATTTTGGATGCGATTAATCCAGGGGTCACCAAGCTCGGTCCTGGAGGGCCGGTGTCCTGCAGAGTTTAGCTCCAACCCTAATCAAACACACCTGATCCAGCTAATTAAAGTCTTACTAGGTATACTTGAAACTTCCAGGCAGGTGTGTTGAGGCAAGTTGGAGCTAAACTCTGCAGGACACCGGCCCTCCAGGACCGAGTTTGGAGACCCCTGGATTAATCGTTTGACAGCACTAGTGCATATCAGTCTTTGCATTTCTTTGGGATCAAACCCATAACCTTGGTGTTGCAGGCGCCATGCTCTACGTTTCTGAACATTTTTGGCAGATTGTTTTTTGTTCAGCTAAAAATGAATTCTGACACTCACACTGTGCACTAAGTAATATACCAAACTGGCTGTTAGTTTGGCAGTGGAACACAAAAGGAGAAGTTCCAGTCATATTGGCATCACTGTATCCATTCTTTTGATCTTTATCTGCAGAGTCTGTGGTTTGATAACAATTACATTGCATGCCACATGTCACCTTGACTTTCGTACAGTAGTTCCGTGAGTTTTGTTTTTGTGCTCACACGGTTTCATACCTTCAGGTAACTTCAAGGCTTTCATGCAGAAGGAGATCTTTGAGCAGCCTGAATCTGTCGTCAACACCATGAGAGGCAGAATCTGTTTTGACAGCAACACAGGTACAACATGACCTTCCACTTTGCCAGAACAAAAGTCATGTAAAATTAAATTAGGCTTCATCTTGTAGCGCAACCCTGAAAGTGAAGCCTGATTTGATACTGCAAAACTAGAGCCATTCTTAAAGGGATAGTTCACCCAAAAAATGAAAAATTGCTGTTAATTTGCTCACCCTCAGGCAATCCAAGATCTAGGTGACTTTTTTTCTTCAGGCAATTTCAGGCAATACAAAATTAATACTCATGGCTCCTGACAATATATTGAGGTCTTATGAAGAGAAACGATCAGTATAAGCAAGAAACTGAACATTATTTGCAAAAAAGAACGATATAACCAGATAATTTGAGACCAATTTCATTTGTGCTTTCAAATGTGTGCACAGTTATTCTTGGTGGCCTTTCTGACCATCTGAAGGAGATCAAGAGATGCAGACGCTTGATTGTGATTGGCTGTGGAACCAGTTACCATGCAGGAGTGGCAGTATGTTTTTGCATTTTTTGTCTGGATGTATAACAGAGAACAATTTATTGCTTTAAAGATGAAAATGATGAAAGAATGAGATGTTTGTTGCAAATGTGTTTGGTATATGCTGTCCATTTTCATTACAAAGCTCTTTGGAAAACATTATTCTGATTGACTAAGAGTGACATTGAACTGTCAAATTTTTTGTACTGTAAATTGACTGGTAAACTGTATATTGGACTTGTCCATGGTTTATTTCAGTGACCAGCTGACTGTACTTTTTCCCTGACTTGAGCACATGATCACATGATCACAGCATTATCTCTGATTTTCTGTCCAGACACGTCAGATCCTTGAAGAGTTGACTGAGCTTCCTGTTATGGTCGAGTTGGCCAGTGATTTCCTAGACCGCATTACACCCGTTTTCAGAGATGATGTCTGTTTCTTCATCAGCCAGTCAGGTAAAGTGCAGCTTGTTACCATCAATCGTATGATTTTTATTCCGGAAAGCATTGATTATAATGATCTTTGAACTGATATGGCACTGAATTACACAACAGTAAGTGCATGAGGTGATACAATCTCCAGATACCCAGATGCCCACAAAACAGAAAAGAACAACAACAACAACAGATATCTCAGATATATATCTTTTCCTCCTCTTTCTCCCATAAAAAAAGACTACATTTATTTCCTTAGAGGTCTCAAGATGTCTAAAACTTTGCTCAGATGTTTCAGGATGTCAAATTCTGCATTTAAAAGTAAGACTTATATATAAATATGAATGCTAACATTTCGGAGTACTCATAAAACTCATAGATTTGATTGAGTAGAGTAAAATACCGTTACTGATGCAGCAGGTTTTTTTGGTTGATGACACTAACACGTGCATGTCAATGCTGCTGAAAGTTGTTGGTTTTATATATTGATAATGTCTTTCAATCAGGTGAGACGGCAGACACTCTGATGGCATTACGCTACTGTAAGCAGCGCGGGGCACTGACTTTGGGCGTCACCAACACTGTTGGCAGCTCCATCTGCAGGGAGACCGACTGTGGAGTTCACATCAATGCTGGGCCTGAGGTTGGAGTCGCCAGCACTAAGGTATTGTAGAGCCCAATTGAAATTAACATTTTGGCCTAATAATAATAATGATAAAGAATAAATATGTACATACCTGTACATACAATTGTCAATTTGTATATTGCTATTCCCTATTTACTTGTTCTAATTAAAAAAAAATGTATTACCTGTGTTTTTGTCCTGTCACTGTCATTCTGTTGCACTGTGGAAGC